CAAACAAAATGCTGCTCACTAGGTAATACCACAGTAAAGCTTCAGCTTTGCTGCCTTCCCATTCTGCAGCAGGGTTATCAAGAGATTTGTACATTGCAATGTTAGGTCACAAATGGAGAGGTCAAAATAACGTAACTAATATCTCCAACCACATTTGTATGCAGACATTTCATTAGTAATAGACAAGTAACATCCAAAATTCAAAGAACTGTGTCAGTTAATGTACACTCACAGAAGGAGTTTTATACAGTACAGTGGTGCCTCGACTTACGAACGTCCCGACATACGACCAGCTTTGGCTGCAACTTTTGCTTCGACTTGTGGCCGGAGCTTCCAGTTACAAACAGAAAAAGGCAGGGGAAAAAGATGAAAAATTCAAATTGCTACCTGTAGGTGGTTTATTTGTAGCTCTTTCGCCCCAGTAGTTAAAGAGTTAGCGATAGGAAGAGGCTGCCTGGTGAGGTAAGGTGCTGCTTTCTGTTTTTTAAAGACTGTTCTGGCTGGGTTTTACAGTGAGGTTTTGGGCTGGGGGGTTATGTTTCTGGGTTGTGATGGGTCTTGGGGGGGTTGTTTGTTGGAGATTTTTCTCCTATTTCCAATGAGTCTTGGGGAGTTTGTTTTTTGGAGTTTTGCTTTTTCCCCATTTCCAATCTGTCTTGCATGCTTTGCGTGCTTTTTGCTTTGCTTTTTCCCCATTTCTGATGTCTTGCATGCTTCGCTGGCTTTTTGCTTTTTCCCCATTTCCGATCTGTCTTGCATGCTTCGCTTGCTTTTTGCATTGCTCTTTTCTCATTTCCGATCTGTCCTGAATGCCTTGCTTGCTTTTGCATTGCTCCTTCCGCTTCACTTGCTTTTTGCATTGCTCTTTCCTCATTTCCGATCTGTCTTGAGTGCTTTGCTTGCTTTTGCATTGCTCCATCCTCATTTCCATCCGTCTTGCATGCTCTGCTTGCTTTTCTCCCCCCGCCCCTTCGGCCGGAAGGGATTAATCATGTTTCCGATGGGTTTTCCAGTGATTTTTTTTGTGTGTGTGTGATTTGTTTTCTTTGGCCAGAATGGATTAATTGCATTTCAATGCATTTCAATGGGAAATGGTGCTTCGACTTACGACCATTTCGACTTGCGCCCATCTTCCGGAACGGATGAAGTTCGTAAGCCGAGGCACAACTACTGTATCTTCCCAGCCCCAAACAGTCTATGACAGGAGGACAAAAAAAATCACAACTACTGTATCTTCCCAGCCCCAAAAAGTCTATGACAGGAGGACAAAAAAAATGTTCACAACGTGTTGAAATCCAAAAAAACAGGATCTCAAGTCACATACCTTGTGATGCCTTCCGTTGTGTCTAGCAGAGGTGTAACTCAGTGAGAGAGAAAAAAGTTCCAAGTTTAATCCATGACCACTCTAGGCAGGATTAAGAAAGAATCATACCTGAATCCTTCAGGAGCTGGTGTCAATTATATTATGCTGGACTGACCAAGGATCTGATTCAGCATAAGAGGGCTTTCTATGTTCCTATATATTTTTTTATTTAAAGCTTCCAACATGAATACCCAGATGTCCTTGCACAGTGATTAGAAAAGGGTAAAAACAGTACCTATGTCTGTACAGGATTCTTCATATAGGATTTTACTATAATCCCCAAGTAATCAGAAATCACCAGAATGCCTGAACCCTGCAAAGCAATGTAACATAGGGGAGATATGCAAACATACAACAAACTTGATCTGGAATAGCACCTAAACCTGCCACTTGCTATGTAAGTGCCCTATAACCTACTCCAAACAGGAAATCTCCAGTAACTAGCTCATCCAATCAAGCCAGAATCAACATATCTCTTTGCCAGATCCCATACCTTCCTTCCTTTCAGTCATTCCACTACTTCCTCAAACACACTGCATTAGAAAGTGGCCAACAATTAGTTTACCACTCACTTTCCACAAACTCTGCCACTACTTCTCTACCTGGGGCAAGCTGTACTACTATGTGTACTTAAAAAGACATTATTTTAGCCACCAGAGAAGATCAAGCAAGGAAATGAGCAGCTTTACATTCTGACCAGATCCCTGCCACTAGCCTCAGTCTGTATTATGGTCTTGTCTTTGGTTCCTTTTCTGGCTAGTGTTTACATTGCATCTGATATTGTTAACTTTAACATGCTTTGTTTGATGGTAAAACAGACTCTGCTGGCAATATTTTTACAAGGAAAACTTTTGAGGAGGGACAAATACTTGTAGTTGGCACAAAATTAAACACACAGATTACAAACAAATTCTAATTCTTTAGAGATGTGAATGCCAGGAGAGATCAGCTTTATTATCTTGGCTACAGTCCAACAATGATCTTGGGATTCGGGCATTAGTTCAATTAATACCCTAGAAGAGTGCTCCCACCATAATGGACACACAGACACAGCTCAGAATTATGTTTGCTTTTAGTAACTGGATCAGTGCATGAGTCTGAATTTACTGGCAACATTTTCATTGTTTTCCTGCTTTGGTTCTCTCTCTCTCTCTGTCTCTTTATTTCTTTAACCTTCAGGTGAGTTTAAAAAATAAGTCCTCTTCCTTATATAGGTTTATATATTTCTCATTTCTCCCCTGTACTCTATGTACTTTTATGGATAAAAGATACTGATAAAAAGAGCAGTGGAAACTAAGCAAGAGGGAGTAACCATGTCATAGTACAGTGCCTCCCAACCTTGGATGCCCAGGTGTTCCTGGATGAAAACTCCCAGAAGCTTTCATCACTACCTCTGCTGGCCAGAATTTCTGGTAGTTCTGGTCCAAGAACATCTGGGGGCACACTGTTGGGAACCACTGTATATTAAATTCCTAGGGCGTAAAGTTAGAAGGCACACATGCTGCATGTTTGGAGATACCACGTGGGAACCACTGTATATTAAATTCCTAGGGGGTCAAGTTAGAAGACACACATGCTGCATGTTTGGAGATACCACAGCACACCAGGCCCTCTTGTCTTCCATTGCCTCCCAGAGTTGTGTCAAATTCATGTTGGTTGCTTCGATGACACTGTCCAACCATCTTGTCCTCTGTCGTCCCCTTCTCCTCTTGCCCTCACACTTTCCCAACTTCAGGGTCTTTTCCAGGGAGTCTTTTCTTCTCATGAGATGGCCAAAGTACTGGAGCCTCAGCTTCAGGATCTGTCCTTCCAGTGAGCACTCATGCATATTATACCATACCAATGTTACAGCCACTCAACTTTGTGTTAGAAAATTCCCAAAGATGGATCTCGACCTTGGAAATTAATTGTAACATGTATAACCCTCTCCACAAGAAAAAAGCCTCTTGCCAGAATTTCCCTCAAAAAAGGAATGCTGTACTGTATTAGTATTGTTCCAATACTGTACTTCATTGTGTTTAATAATGTAATTTATAGAGTTTTTAGTTGGACCTGTTTGTAACTTGCCTTGGGTCTTACAAGTGAGAAAAACAGGATATCAATGAAATAAATGACTAAAAGAAATGAAGGAAGGGAAAAATTTTTTTAGTACAAAACAGTTATTTAGTTGGAGTGCAAGTTCTAGGAAGGTCTAGCAGAAGCAACCAGGAAAGCTCAAAAGGAAGGGAGGGAGTAAAAGAACAACAACATGCTGACAGTTAAGAGGTCAGTAGACTCTCACCAAATTCTAATGAAAAACTAACCCTTGAGGCAAGACCCTAACAGGCAGAATCCTCAAAGCAAGTGTCAGGGAGAAAAATACCTCGCATGTTAGGAGGTACAAAGTCCCACTATAAGAATGCCTGGAAAGAACAGGGTGTGCCATTGCTGACATCAGGAAAAATGAGAGATGGGAAAGGCAGCAGGTAGAGCTGGGCAGGAGGCTGAAAGGAAATGAGTATTTCAACCCTAGTACAGTATCTTTAAAATGCTCATTATTTATATATGCCACCATCTTGAAAACTACTTGAAGCCCACCTAGGTTCCACAGGCCTTTTTACATCAAAACTGTATTAAACAAACTGGTATGCATTGATGTGGTTGCAGGATGCTCTAAAACAAAGGAATCTTTGTTTTCTCAAGCATTTTGGAAAACTCTCATAGCCCATTGCTATTGACCTTACTGGCTGGTGCTGCAGGGAGCTCTAGGCCAAACACCTTCTCCCTTCTTGCTCCAACATACGGTTCATTGATTTAAGGTGCATTTTCAACATCATACCCATATAAACACCAGTCACACTATCTTGCCAACATGCGTACATCAACTTTAGAAACTCTTCAGATAACTGGTGGAACTCAAAACGGTCTGAAGGTTAGCCATGATAAACTCTAGTTTAACATTAAATCCTGCCCTATGGCTTTCTGTTAGGACTAATGCAGAAATAAACATATTTGAACAAAGGGCTCACTGCAGGAAACACACATGGAAGGGCTGGTTCTGTACCGGCCCACCTTCTATTGATGCACAGGGAGGCAACCACCAGATAATGACCACTGCTGTATAACCTGTTAGAACCAGCTTCCTGTTTTTGAAGAACAGGAAAACATACCTGCTTTCCCTCTGTTTTCAGTAAGGTCCCATAGATGATTTAAAAAAACTGTCCTGGGACTTGCCCTTAGCTGATAGCTAAGCCAAGAATTCCAGACTACTATGACAATGGCCCTGTGCATTGCTGGCAAAAAGCTGAGGGAAGAAGACCCGCAGCTGAAATCACAACTCTTTAGTCTCTCATTGTTACCTTTTGGATGACTGCAGCATCACAATGCCAACGGCCTAGGAAATATTCTTCCACCATATGACTCTGAGGCATAGGTGTAGTACTGTTATTCCATGGAAGCAGAACATTTCCACACTCTGTAAATGCTTATGCTTGACCTTAGTCTGGATAACAAGAGCAGAAGCCAGCAGTCATGCGCCAGTATCAAGCCTCCCTTCTTCCTCAGTGTCAAACCAGTATCAGTTTGGCAAACTGCAGACAGTGGTATTAAAGCTTTTCATTTAAACTTAAGTGGGACACAGTGTCACAAGGCTACTCACCAGACAGAGGATCTTTGCCAACTATTAAGACATTTGGCAAATTCATTATAATCAGCTGCTGAAGGATCTCCTAGAAAGAGAGGAAGAGAGAGAGAGAACAGTAAAAACTGGTTATTAAATAGTATCAGCTCAAATGAACAAATCATGGCCACAAAGGAGAAATTAAGTGGCACATCAGGGGTTTGCAACCTCTTCAGCAATTTTCTGTGGGCTTGGGGTTGAGCACATATTAATCCACTCCTACATGTCAGCAATCGTCTTTTGTTGCTGGGTGGGAGTGGAGAGCCTTTTAGTTAAATATGACTTTTTCTTCACTGTTAGGAGTTGTACACAGATAATACCCATGCAATTAATTTATATACCCAGACACCAACAAAACTCACAAAATGATTACAGAAGAACTAACATGAGACAGATTGATCCAATAAAGGAAGCCACAGCATTTAGTTATGCAACAAACTATATCGCTTTCCTGCATTTGAGGAAATTGTAGGGGGTCAGCATACCAGGTGTGCAATGGATGTGCCTCATCCTGTGAAAACCTCCTTGATAATCAAAGTATCTCCCATACCAGGCAAGATCTGAGAAGGGCTGTTAATGGTAGACCCTTCTGAATTCATAGGCCCCTAAGCTGGAAGTGACAGAACATGTAAACAATAGAAATGAAAAACTCTAAGAAGAGCAAAGGGACAAGAGATAAAGCAAACCAAGAGAGGTCTTCTGCCCATTTAAACATGGCTAGTCAAGGTCAATTAGGGTCAGAGGGTTAAGGAAGCAACATCTGCCCTGCAGACTTGCTTTAAAGTCAGTCTCGGCCTTGAATATATCCTGGGAAAACTGATTAAAAGGTCAGAGAGCGAGTTAGCAAACAGAAAGTTGGGTAAAACATAACTGAAAGGACATGAGGGCAATAGTCCATTTTTTACTTGGAATCCAGGCAAACCACAAGATAAACAGCCGTTAAAGGTTGCTGTTACATACAGTTACCAGATTAAGAATAGATATTGTTCAACCATTTAATTTAAAAGACTGTCACAGTGCCTTTTATTTTGGGAATGAACATTCTTGTAGTTGCTAGGGAAGGTTAGTTTATTAGACTTGAGCCAAATAAAGTGCTTTAAACAGAAGGTGTGATAAAATACACAATAACATGTAAATCTTATGAAATATATGTTCAACAGAGGAACTAAATGCTATACCGCTTGGCACTTACCCAGATGATAAGCCAGGACTTCATTCCACATTGCCAAGAGTTCCTATTGCTACCACAGCTTATACAAGCAACTAGAACTTGGTTTCAATAGTTTCAATGTTTTATTTTGTGTTTTAAATTATTTGATTTCAAATTGCTTTAAATATCCTGTGATTTAAATTGTTTTATATAGCTTCCTCTTACCTTTACACACACACACACACACACACACACACACACACACACAGAGAGAGAGAGAGAGAGAGAGAGAGAGAGAGAGAGAGAAATATTTTATCAGACAATACATGTCACTTCCTTTCTACAACTCACCCCCCTTGAAAAGCAGAGAGAGAGAGAGAGAGAGAAATATTTTACCAGACAATACATATGTCACTTCCTTTCTACAACTCACCTCCCTTGAAAAGATGTATTAAATTTGCCAACAACCAGTCATTGTGAAATATGGCTCAGTTGACATAAGAGGAGACCACCTAGCCTTGCCCACTCTGTTGACTCCATGTGACCAACAAGAAGTCTGAAGAGTGGAGGTTCTTGCTTGCATGTAGGCTGAGAACATCTGGAGGGCCATAGTTCGACACCGCCCTAGCCCACTCTGTTGACTCCATGTGACCAGCAAGAAGTCTGAAGAGTGGAGGTTCTTGCTTGCATGTAGGCTGTGCACACATGGCTTTACTTGGTTTCCACCCTCACAACTAGATACTGTACGTAGATAAACTTGCAACCTAAGGACTGTACTCTGTACTCTAAAGAATTTGATTATAAATCATGAACACTCATAGTGATGTAAATTTGTCACTCATAAAGGTGCTAGAACACTTTCACTTATGTATGTTGAAACAGACCAACACCTTTCTGAAACTGCAAGAACAAGAAATCTTTTACCTAGAAGCAATTTAAGGCTGCTGGCACAAAGGACTGCACTGTTTTGACTCACACCATTTTAAAAAAAGCATGTTTATCTGCAGCAAATCAAGAAAAAGGGAGGGAGGAAAGGTGGAATGAAAGCTATGCAAATAGATTGCACACTTCCTTCTTCTGATGTGGTACAGAGGGGGACAATCTAAGACATAGTCCTGCCTCCTCAGTTATCACAAATAAAATGAAACTGATAGATTAAGGCAAATATTAGTAAGTAAATATGAGAACAAGTCATGGCCACAAAGGTCTTTTGTTAAAGCAAATCCACAGTTACGGAGACGTAGAATCATAAAACTGTACAGTTAGAGAACATGCCCCCAAGGGTCATACCAAACCATGCCAGAACACATCTCCCACGTCTGATCCTAAGTCCTACAGTATTCTCTCTTAACAGAGTCATGATTTAGAAAACAAAGGGAACCCACTAATTGAGGGTTACAAAGAATCAAAGGTTGGGAACTGACATGGACATCCTCTTTCTCAGAACCAAAGCAGTCTTTCAGTATGTCCCATTCTGTTGTATCTCACTGACACATGTTGCTCTCCCTATAGTGATATATTTGACTACAAATGTGAATATCCAGGAATTCATGCCTCTGCCCGTATCTCACTGACACATGTTGCTCTCCCTATGGTGATATATTTGACTAAAAATGTGAATATACAGAACTGTCCAGGAATTCATGCCTCTGCCCTCAGGGACCTATACTAAACAAAAGGAATTTCTAAGCATTGTTAGAGACTTGAGAACTACAATTCATTGACAAACTGGCTGCCTTTCTCAGGTCTCAACTAAGGCCTATGGGTCATGTTCTTATTTCACAAAAGCAAATAGCATAAAATTGAGGCACACATTTCATTTATGTTTTGCATTTATAAATCCACATACACCTGTACTGTTTATATTGAGTCACACACCACCTTCTTAATCCACTCAACAGCTACCACTTTTAGAGGAGGTACTTCTGACCTCCTCCCCAGATGTTACTTGATTGTAACTCTACTGGCCTTAGTCAAGGCTGCCAATGGTGCAGGAGGACAAGAATTGCAATATACCATAAGCTGGAGTTGGGCACCTTGACCTACAGTTGCCAGCATTAGTGTGCAGATCTGTGTCACACTGACTAGGAAATTCTAGAAGTTGTAGCCCTAGACAGATTTGTACACTTCTGGTTGCCGGGTTCCTTGAAGGTTGTTGCTTTTCTGCTCTCCAATTTAGTCATGCTGATATATTTTCTTTTAACCAGATCAACTGAAGTACATATTTTGATCTTCTTATAGCACTATAGAAGCCAGTTGAAGAACACTCAGTCAAATCTCAGAAATGTTTTCCATAGAGATCTGCTCAGGATGTAACACCCTAACTATTTTAAAGCCTATTGGCATCTCAGAAACAACAGACTCTGCATACAAAAGCTTCAAAACCAACACTGATCTAATTATTTTATTTAGTCAATAAGTCTCATATAATCCATATTTTTCCCCATAAGAGGGCTCAAGGTGGCTCAAAAGGTTAAATCAAGTACAATTAAAATACAATAAATAACACATTAACATCAAATTAAATTATTATAATAATCAAATATATCAAGTAGTTAAAAGCATTACAGTAATTATAAAAACAAACAAGGTAAAAAGCTAGAACCAGCATTCAGGGTCTCACTATAAAAGTTACATATTAAAGTTGAAATTAAAGTTAAAAGCCTGCCTGAAAAGATGGCCTTCAGCTGTCGGTGGAAAGATAAACCTAATCTCCTGGAAGAGAGCATTCCACAATCTGGGAACTGCCACAGAGAAGGTCCTCTCCTGTGTCCCCATCAAGTGTACTGGCAATGGCAATGGGACCGGCCAGAAGACCTCTTGAGCTGAGAAGGCTAATATGAAGAGATACTATTAATTACAGAAACATGTGCTTGTGTTTCAGCTTCAGACTTCAAGTATCCTAGTCAAGATACCTGCAACAATATCTTGCTTCTGTATAGTTAACCCATTCCAAACTCCATAAGACCCCATGTTATTTTTCAAAATGCATCTTTTTAAACTACAGCAGAAACAGCAGAAACAGAACATAAAATTTACACTTCAAGTTTGTGTCAATAGAAAAAATGGGTATCAAATGAATAATTCACAGAGGTATCCATTGTAATTCAATGCCTTTGCCAAGTTAGCTCCATTTGTTAATTGCCTGGGTGACATTACCAAGTACCCAACTGCAACTACAATTCACTATTCAGTTATAATTAGAGATGGGATATTCGTATACGGATATCCCCCAACAGGTGCAGATAATGAAGGTCCAGCCCCCTGGAGCCAGACCAACCCCTCACGATTCCGCCTCTGCGGTGAGCTCCGTAGTGCCTTCCTATAGCTCTGCTGCTCACGATGGATTAGCCACTCTTCGACTCGGCAGAGAGGCTTGTCATTCTGCCTTCTGCTAAGACTAGCTAATCTATTGCAAGCAACGGAGTTGTTGAACACAGACTGCAAGTTTCAAATTCTAGGCTTGCAAAAAAATTTCACATTCTTACATGAAAGTACAAACTGTAAAAAATTTGGACCTTTTGCATGGAAAGCACTGACCTCCACCTCACAATGTAGGGATAATACCTGCATATTTTACCAGATATTCTGGGTTGAGCATAACCTTAAAATTCGCCATTAAAAAGTGTAATTATTAAAATGAGCCACACAGCAAGTAACTCTAATATGCATTTGTTTTCCCTTTGTTGTCTAAAGTCTTACACACCACTAGAAGAGCATATCAGATTAGCATTTTGCTGCAAAACATGAAGTAGCTGCACCCCAACTTCCCCTGCTAGGAAGGTACAGACATTCAGAAGTTATTAGGCTTAGGTTTTATCAGTTTTCAAAAATAAAATTCTACAACGCATTGCCCACTGGCAAGGAAACACAATTTCAAAGCCAAAACCACCTTCAAA